CTTTTTTTTGTAGCGACAAAGCTAATTATAAAATTTATATAGAACAGTAAACTAAGAAAATAGACAAAGCAGTTTTGATAGTATAGAACAAAGTTATAGGATACACTACTACTTGATTTCATGGTTTAGGAAAACATAGTAATCAAGAGAGTATTGATGCAAAGGCAGATACTTAGCTTGATGTAAGAATAGACACTTAGCTCAGTGGCACAAAGTAGAGTTCAGAAGGCACACAACTGTGACATTTTTCAAGTAAGGAATACAAATGGTCAACTAACATTTTAAAAGTGTCTTAACATCATTAGCCATCAGGGAAACGAAAATCAAAATTTTGATGAGATACCATTTCATGCCCACTAGGATATAGTAAAAAAGACAGAGAACAAGAATTGGCACAGATGTAGAAATTAGAAGCATAAAACAGCAGCTGGAGCTCTCATATGTTGCTGCTGGAAATACAAAGTAGTACAGCAATTTTGGAAAATATTTATAAAGTTGAACACATACTTCCCATACCACCCAACAGTTTCCAGTGTACCCTTACATATTTACCTAAATGAAATAACAACCTACCCATGAATGATTATGACAACTTTTTTCATAATGACATCAAATTGGAAACTGTGCACATGCCCTGCAATAGGTAAAGGGACTGACCAACTATGGCCCATTCATTCAGTGGAAAACTACCCAGCAACTGAAGAAATGAACTACGATATCAACAACAACATAATAGATCTCAAATATATTATATGTGATTCAAGTCACTTAATAGTGTATTACCCCTTTCATGTGAAATTACAAAAAAGTTAAAACTGTTAATGATAGAAAAAAGTATCATTGGTCACCAAGGAATGCAGGTGTTGGAGTGGTATCAGTTACAAGAGAGCACAGAGGAGTTTTGGTGGAATTGTTATGATCATCCTGTAACTTGGCAGTGATCATACAATTGTATGCATTTGTCAAATCTTACAGAACTGTACACCAAAATGGTGAATTTTGTTCTGCATAAACTATTCCTTACATGATAAAAAGATGGAAGATTGGGCAAAGATTAAGACAGTGTTTCTTAACAGATTTTTTGTTCTTCCTCATTAAAATTATGTCAAGTGCACATGACCTCCTTAAAGTTATAACTGATTTAAGGCATGTGTTATAGTACCTGGAGGTGCTCGATAAATACTTACTGAGTATTGATTATAAATACTTATGAATGCAGTACTACTGTTACAGTTGTCTGTTCAACTCTATGAACATTTTTATATCCATATTTTAATTTTGTATGAGATTTTTGAAATTAAGTTGTTATATTTCCAGTTAGATTGTAAGTAGATTCATTTCTTTTATATCTGGCTCCATCTTGAACCCTTAGAAGATTATTTGTCCATCTTGTATCTTCATTATGTCATGACATGGTGAGATGTTTTGACTTAAACATTTAAAAAATATGATTCTGGCTGTGAAGTGAAAAGTAAATTATAAAGGAGGGAAGGTTGGAAGCAGATAGAATAGCTAGAATGTAATTACAAATAATCCGGGGCAGACATGATTTCTTGCTCTATGCTGGTTAGCAGAAGATGACATGTAATCTATATCTGTCTATCTGTCTGTCTGTCTGTCTATCTATCTGTCTTATCTATCTGAGTTTGGGAGCCATATATATTATATACAAATATATATTTATTTTATATTATGTATTCATTTCTTAGGGAAATTTCTTAAGAAGTGAGTATAGATAGAGAAGTCATTGTGGGACACCCTTAACCACCCCAAATGCTTGGAGGTGGACAGATGAGGAAAACCATGCAGAGGAGTCCAGGAAAGGACCACCAGTGAGCTGGGAGGCAAACCAAGTTAGAAATCCAGTGAACTATGTGTATGAAGGAGGAAATAATCAAGTGATAAAAGGCAGAGAAGCTTGAGCAGTCCTCCAGGATCATCTTAGGAGCACAGCTCATTATAATGGGGAAAGGCAAGACATGGCTACAGAAGTAATAGCTGGCATTTGAGGGTTCATTTGTACTATGTGCCAAGTGTTTTTAAAGTACTGTACACATGTGAGTTAATTTAGTTGTCACAACACTCTGAAATAGGTACTATATTATCTTTAATTCAGAGAGGAGAAAATTGAAGCACAACCAGCATAAATATGCATAACAAATAATGACAGAAAATAGGTAACTTAGTCAAGGTCTCACAGTCAATAAGTTGCCCATGAGCATATAGTAAGTAAATGGCAGTTAGTATTTGAATATGGACAATATCTGGCTCAGGAGCTAGAACTCTTTTTGTGAAGTAGACAAGTAGGTTGCTAAATTTATGTAGGAACATGTAGGAGTACAAGTTGAGAGTGTGAGTAGTTGTGGAAATTGATACCCTTGACCAGGGAGTGCTTAAATCTCCTAGTCATGATTTCAAAGAGAGATCATAATGATGGCAGGTCAACAGAATATTTTTATAAGTAAACAACAAAATAGAGATATTTCTTTGTAAAATACAAGATCTATAACTTGGTCCAATATAAATTTATGAAGCAATGTGGAGATATGAAGAAAATGACGTAGTACTTTAAAACTAATACATAGTCAAAGTGGGTAGGATGTCTACTTTTAACGGATCATTTAATAAAATACTTGAAACACTGCATGAATCCAGCTGAAGACCTAGAGTCCATAGCAATGCCCCCACAAGTCCAACTGGAGACCTAGAGCCCACAACAATGTCTCATGCAAGTCTGTATCAAAAATCTGCACTGGAAAGGCCCGAAGGTCAGCGATAGAAGCTAGGAAGTCTGTGCCAGCGGGGTGAAGGATCTGTGCCAGCAGGATGAGGGATCTGTACTGGAGCCAGAAAGTGACACTCAGAGTAAGGACCAGAGCTCCCCTGAAGAGAACCATAGCCATCCTAAGCAATAGCAAGGTCCCAAGCTCCTCCGATTATGAAAACAGCAAAGTTCATATCAGGAAAGCCAGTGTGACAAGCTTCTCCAGGAGAATCAACAGTGTGCACTCTCTTCCCCTCCAGTTCTTTTCATTATTGTTGACAGCAGTCATTAGGTGGGGCTTCCACACCCGGCACCATGCTGATTCAGCTCAGCAGGGTGTTACAAGTTGACCACCAGTTGTCAGTCCACCACAGTATCTTCCTTGTTTCTAACATGGGGTTCAGCACATATCATAGCTAGTTGCCTACTTTGCAGTTCCTGACACCTGCAGTTAATGTTCTGTCAAAGCAATAGCCATACGTACTTATGTTTTTAATAAAAATATTGAAAACAAAGGATTACCTTAATAAATCACTCCTTTATCTGTGTCTTCCCTTCTCATGGATGTTTGCTTGTAGCATGTGGCTTAATAGCTGTAAGTTATAACCTCTGAGGTAATCCAGTATTGTTTGCAACATAGTTGATAAGATGTTTCAGGATAGTCAATAAATTATGGATGTTTATTAACAGTATTATGAGTGACCCAGTTTTTAAATTTTTTAAATTTTTATTAGTACATGTTTGCAGGGCATAATGATTATATTCATTGTAGGGAGTTGTTTCATGTACATAATATATCTTATTTCTTTTTAGATTCCCCCCATCTCTGCATCCTCTTTCCATTTACAAGTGATCTATCTTCCTATTTCCTGTTTTATTTTGCTCTTTAATTTATATATATTTTGGGTTTCTGATATAAGAGAAATCATGCCATCTTTGTTTGTGTGTCTGATTTATTTCTCTTAACATTATGGTGTCAAGGTGCATCCATTGTAGGAAAATGGACCTAATTCTTTTAAAATTCAGTCTATAAAGATAAATAGTGTCTAGGTTTCCAAGAATACTGAAAAGACATTTTCATTATTCCTGGGCAGCCAAATAGCTGAGGATCTAGTAAAGGCGGAATGTCAGTTAAGCTGAATTATATCATTACAGATGTAATATTTATTGAGGAATATTGACTATTAACTTGTAAAGGATGTGCATGCATATGTATATTTGAGTGTATACCTGTGTGATCCTGACTTTCAAAAGCTTAGGTAAATCATTACACAAACTATGAGCCAACAGAATATTTAATCAAGGTGATCTATCTCTTCTTTGTGCCTGTAATATTGGACGTGTATTATAGTAGGACAGATGGGTATTAGGAAGTTATTACAGAGGTCTAGGTTAGATAAAATTGATATCAATTGAGATAGATGTGCATGGACTTTGGAGAGGTTCTTTTTTTTTTGAGACATAGTCTCACAATGTGGTTCAGGCTGGACTTGAACTCTCTGTGTAGCCCAGGTTGGCCTTGAACTTGAGGTGATCCTCTGCCTCAGCTCAGCCTCCCAAGTGCTAGGATTACAGGTGTGTGCCACCATGTCTAGCGATGTTCATATTTATACCCATCAGCTAACTTAACTTTTGTATTGTTGGGTTATAGGAGCTAAGCTGATGAGACCGATGGGCTTGAAAAAAATAAATTAGGACGGGGTAGAACTTGTATGATTTAACACTATTAAAGAACATGAATGTGGAGCCTCGCTCCACTGAGTGAATTGCCCTTGATGCAACTCAGCCTGATCTCAGAGAAGGAAGTGCCCTGAAGGTGTGATAGGCCTATTGGCATTTTGTCCTTCAGTCATCTCCAGCCTCACACATAGCTGACCTGCCGTACATTTACCTCATGAGACTCAGAGTGTTCTATTTATGCCCACGGATATGCAGCTAACACACTTGCTATTATAAATAAGTTCATAGGATGTTTTTAACAAGTAAATGAAGGGAAGAAAAAAATTTTCCCTTAAGTTAGAATAATATGGCTCACCAATAAAAAAAGATGAAAACAAGATAAAAACATCAGACATCATTGAGCTTAAGAACTACTATTGTTTCATGCCCCTGTCGTATTTTTGTCTTTGACCTAGGATTATGTCTTTGTATGAACTAATAGATGCACTGTGTATAGCAACAAGGAGTTTAGGAGTGGTACAAGGAGTGTGAATGGTTTGTTTTCTTCTTTACTCAGGCACAATAACCTTGGTGCACGACCAAAAGGGCTCTCCACCTTGGTGAAGAGTGGTGTTCCCGAAGCACTGAGGGCAGAAGTATGGCAGTTGCTAGCAGGCTGCCATGACAACCAGGCAATGCTGGATAGATACCGAATTCTTATCACAAAGGTAGAAACTCTTTTCATATTGTTTTCATGTAAGGCAACATATTAAATACTGTTTCCTATTGCTCTCATAAGTCATAAATGTTTTGAACTTGTTTAAAAATACATTGGTATCATGTGCTTACTACCTCTGCCTTTTGAGCACTCATTGGTTAGATAGTGGTAAACAATGCGTGTAATTGTCTTTGAACACTTTATGTTGTTCAATTTTCTCATTAGTGTCTTTATAATTTCTGTTTGCTACATTGGAATATATAGTTTGCCCTCTGTATCCTGAACTCCAATGCACTCAACAAACTATGCATTGAAACTACTTAAAAAAAATTGCATCTGTTCTGAATATGTCCAGACCTTTTTCTTGGCATATTTCCCTAAACAATACAACTATTTACATAGTATTTACATTGTATTAGGGATTATAAGGAATCTAGAGTTGGTTTAAAGTATATGGGAGGCTGCATATAGGTTAAAGACAAATACTTGCTCTTTATGTAAGGACTTGAACATACGTAGATTTTGGTACTTGCGGGGAGGTCTGAAACCAGGATCTGCCTCAAATACCAGGGGACAACTGTGTTGGTTTTGCAAGTTTTTTCTGACTTTCAACCAGACATTTTTGTTATTTAAGAGATATAATTAGAATTTTACAAATTGTATTATAATTTTTAAATAAAATTAAAGGGATTTCTGTGCTTATGTTACCTTATACCTAAATGATCTGGATAGTTGTCCAGATTTTTACTCCGTTAGGTGCCCTTTTTCCAACGTGAATTCCTTTGCTTATGTCCAAATATCTCACTTCAGACCATAGTAAAGGTAAGTGTTGGCCTTGTCCTCTTAGGTCTCCCTTTACCTCTTAATCTGCGCTGAATCATGGAACTTTAAATAATAGTAGCTTCTGTTTTTACAAATTCTCTGTTCATAAGTGAGATTTTCAGTAATATGACTTTGGTCGTCAGAATAAATCAACTTAAAGATTTTTATCCCACACAATTTCTCCTTTTTTGCTTCCCTCTTTGTCTGCTTGCTTTCCACAAATATCTTCTAAGTGCCTGTCACTGCTAAATTCAGGTGAAAAATACTACTTCTACCATTTTTTTTAAAGATTAGTGATCTCCACAGTAAGATATGCCAGATGAACCATTGGTGTATGTGGAAAAAATGTTTCAAGTTCAATTTGTGTTTTTAAAATAACAACTGAGATGTTAAATTACACTAGTATTTTCTATGTTGTGGTCCTTGGGCCTGCTGGCCATGCATCACATTGTGGTTCAGAAGTGGCCTGAGCCTGTGGAACTTGCAGAGTGGAACAATGGTGTTGCCATCCTCATATATTCACATTCAGAATATAACAGTTTTCTTGCAGTTTTCATGTGATACATTAAGGGGATTTCTAAGTTACCTACTTTTAACTTAACTTGTAAAATGGGTGGATGGTTTGAAAAGATTACTGTTACAAGATGGTGCATACAGATTCTCTAATCACAAGATTGGTCTCTGTGGCTTGGTCAGCCCTCATTCTGAATCTTCTGTTAGTGCAGTATCTATGAGTCACTTGATTAGCATAAACTATTAGATGGATTTGGGGCCCACATAAATAACTACTTCTGTTATTTAGGAAATTTCATGTATTTAGAGGTCACCTCTTAAGAGCCTGAACAAAGGTGAGGCATCTGTTGGGTAGGTCTGAATAAAGTCTGTCCTCTTTTTAAAGTGCTTTTCCTTGCCAAGAACGATGGCTTATGCCTGTCAATCCAGCCTTCAGGATCTGCAATAAAATATTTTGTCATATATATATATATGCTTTCCACAAGTATCTATATATATATTCATTCATTTATTTAGGGTAAATATATATAAATATATGCATTTATATACTAAATTATATATAATTATAATATATAATATAAATTATGTATAATATATCCTATAGTTTATATCTTAAATTATGTCCTTCATAAATATAAATATATGTATTTATATCCTAAATATACATATTTATACATTTATATATATTTAGGATAAAATATTTTATTATATATAATGTTAGTAATTTATTTCAGAATAGTACATATTTACTATTTGCTACTTGAGGTTGAGTAGCAATGTATAATTAAGATTATAGTAAATAAGTATTTCCACATTCAGTTCCATTCACATTGTTTTTAAATCTATGACAACATAAAATTTTAATGTCATTTCTACAGTTAACAGTACAGTTTATCAAAAAACATTTCATACCAATAGTATAGAGATATGTTGGTCTGATCATATGCCCTGAAACTCTCGGGTCATAATACTTCTGTGACAAGAAGTACAGTACCATTGTATGTTTAATTTCATAGTCTTCCTTGCATCATAGATAAGCATAATAGAAGATGAATAATATTATTTCTAAAAGTGATTTTCTCCTTTTCTCATGCTTAGGAGTGGAAGTGAGACAGCACATGCTTGTAGCTAAGAGTGCATTTATGTACTTTGGTGGCAAATACATCTGAGCTCCCACCACACAGTAGAAAGAACATAACAACCGTAGGGTTTTCAGTAGGAAGTGCCACCCTATTTGGCATTTGTTGGTCATGGTTCAGCAGCGGTTAGTCTCTTCTTTTGGTCTAGTTAATTTTTCTTGTCTTATTAGAGGCATGGCAAGATTTCAAAGTCAGTTAATGAAATGGTTCAGCTTGAACAAACAGAATTGCTTTATAAAAACCCTACCACTATTTAGATCATTGCCTTAGAGGAGGGGCTGTGATGGTGTATTTTTAACTTCTTAATGTCAATTTCCCAAGCAGACTAAAAGTCCAGGGGAGGAAGGACCACTACTTTTCTGCTCCTTAAGAGATATTTATGTCTGACATAATTCTAGATGATAAATGAAGTTTATTGTCATCCTTCCCAAGAGAGAACCACGGTCATTTGCTTATTTATTTAGGTTTTTTCTCCTTTCTATAAACTGTGTTAGGTCCTGGGAAAAGGTGGTACTTTCAAGCCATGTTGTTTTCCTAGGCAACTTACCTATTTTATCAGGGAGATAGATAAGCCATAGAACAGTGGTTCCTGTTGTACATTCTTATTGTTTTTGCTCGGTAGATAGGAACCACTAAGAATTACTGGCCCAGAGAGTTTTGCTGTAGTTAGTAGGGCCTGTAGATTAAGAGATCTTGAATCATAGTAGGTCAAGGCTAGAGAAAAATATGAACAGAGTAAGGGGGTAGGATTACAGTGTGGACCAATCAAACTCTATGGCCTATTGGCTTTTATAATATAATCTCCAAAAATTAAAATTAGCATGTATTTTTGACTGATATGAAATTACTATTGGGACAAAAGTATTAAAAAGCATGAAAAACTCTGAATTGCATTCAAGTGAGGATGAAGCTCCAGGCTTCCAGGTCAGAAGCTACATAGGCTGGTGGTGTTGAACCAACAGCGTGCATACCACAAGAGGCTGTTGGTATCATTGAAAGCTGTAAGAGGCTTGCCATCATTGCTGTAGACCAACTGATACTCTCAGTCTAGAGCCAGGGGCCAAGCACAGAGCAGTCAGAGGAGCTATGATGAGAATGAAATTGAATGTGCTGCTATCCTTAGAAGGAATATTTGGGCACAATTTGCCATGGTTAAAGAGGTAGTAGCATCACTAAATTAGGTGGGAATGCTGGTATTTATTATGGAATGAGAACCTGGATTCAGAACAAAAACTCTGCTACTTACTAGCATATGACCTTGAACAAGTTCCTTAATTATCCTGTTTCAGTTTGCTCATTTGTAAAATGGGCATAGCAGTGTGTATGTTACAGGATTTTTGTGAAGATTCAGTAAGACAATTCATATAAAGCACTTAGTGTATGCTTACTGCCTGGTAAGCACTCCCTGCTAATAGAGAATAAGGAAAATTATAAAGGAGTGTATTCTTCAATCCTAAATAAATAGCACAGAGAAGTACTGTAGAAAATATGGAGATGACTATAGGCTCTTGAAGTTTCAGGACATCCATCTGAGAAATGGTTAGAAAGCAAGCAAGCAAGGTTTTGTGTAACACTGTATTATCTACTTGTAACACTAATTTATTGCTCCATGTTCTTTATCAGACAGTAAGTATCACTTTGGTGTCAGACAGTGTGCTAGATACTAGTGAGATATAAAAACTAATAATACTCATATCCTGCCGTTGAAGAAGTTAGTCTACTGGTGGAGGCAGCCAAGAAAGTGGTAAAAAGGGTAATAAAATGGTTGAGTGCTATGGCACAGATATGAGTAAAGTGACAAGAGCACAGGGGCTGGATCAGGCTACTCTCCTTAGGGGGAGTTTGAATGAATGGATGTGTAAAAGGTGAGTCAGTGCCTTGTATAACAACAAAGAGTTGTGAAAGGTCCTGTCATGTCTATAGGAAGTTCATTGTGACCCATGGGGCCCTCTAGAATGGAAAGCCTAAGTGAGCAAGGTTGGTATCTGAGTTTTGCTCTTTGTTAGAACCTTAGCACTCAACACTAGATTCTCCTTTAATAGATGCTAGGTAAATGCTTGCAGAGGGAATTAATGGGATGTTTGATAGGTGTTATGTTTAGTGTGTTTGTATGTGTCTTAGTACTATTCTTGTTGCTGAGACAAAGTTAAAGGAGGAAAGATTTATTTAGCTCACAGTTCGTAGCAGTTTCAGTCCATAATTGGCTAGATCCAAGGCCAGGGGGCATGGTAGATGGGCACTGCAGAGGAGAAAGAGTCTATGGCAGGCAGAAGGTAGCAAAACAAGTAAGGGACAGCCACAGCTCTTTCCATACCTTATATGTTATCCAGGGTACTTAGGGTGGGTAGCACTCACACCTTAATTCTAGTGCCTTTGAGCCTAATATTGCACCATGAATCAATCCCAGTATCACACACTCTAGATACACCTCTGAAAAAGCCCCACTTACGACTGCATGAGGCTTTGGGGGGACATCTAGACACAAGTCATAACAGTGTACCTTCTCCATATAACCTTGATGGCTTCAGTTATTTGA